ACCTTCCTTCTGAGGAGTGGCTGGTGGGTTTGAACCGCCAGCCTTCTGGTTAGCAGTCAAGTGCCTTAGCCACTATGCTACCAGAGCTCCCCAAATCTGGGATATAGACTTAATTACTCTTCCCTTTTCTTCCCACATCCAATCTATCACCACATCCTGCCAGTTTTATCTGCTGCACTCTTTCTCTACTTCCATGACCCTAGTCCAAGATACTATGAAGTTGTGACTAGATATCTAATTTCCACAAATTTTCTCCCTGCTTTCACACACTCACTCCACACTGTCTCATCTGCACATGCAACCAGAGTGACTTGTACAAACATAAATTGCATCAGATCATTTCACTGCCCTGCTAAAAACTCTGGATGGTTTCCCATTGCACTTAGAACAAAACAGAAGCACTTTATTTTTCTCTACAAGGTCCTACCTGATGTCCCCTGTCTACTTTTCCAACCTCACTGTAACCACTTTCTTCTTCACCCACTCTGCTCACTCCAGTTATGCTGCCATTCTTAAACCAGCGAAGCTTTTGCTGCCTTGGGGCTAGACATTTCCTTCTGCTTGCCATGGTGGTGGTGGTAGCTAATGCATATCAAGTGCTTTCCGTTAGTCAGATGCTCACATCTTTTGCATGTTTACATTTAATCCTCACAAGTGTCTGAGGTTGACACTATTGCTGTTTCCATTGTACAGACGAGGAAAGGCCCAGTGAGTTTAAGAAATTTGTCCAAGGTAAATGCCTCAGTTCTCATTCAGAAGTGATTAAACCCCAAACTATGGTACTTTTCAGATATTAATTCAAATCTTTTATCATCCAATAATTAGGAAAATTTTTCACAGAAGCATATAATTAGATCTCACCATTTGGCCCCTAATCACAAAGGCCTTAATACCATGAATTTCTGTCCTGCTATTCAACAATTAATGTGTTTTTATTGAAGAGTGAGCTAAATCTCTCATTTTGCTTTAGTTTTGGCCAGTTTGAATTTAAAGTCAAATTTGCAATCTGTTTCCAATAAGATGTACAGGACTTCTTTGCCTAGATTTTGGATACAAGCTTTTTGAACCTCACATGAGTTATTGAAACAAGTCAGAAATTGTTTCATGAGTCCCCAGTTGCTCCCCTGATGACTTGTCACAGAGCTCCTCAAGCTCCCTCCACCTGCGTGCACACAGTCCTCTTACTCTTGGGGTTTGGTGTCCTATTTATAGAGAAAATAGAACATATCCTATTCGACCTTTGTCAATTTCTTTCTACTTTTTCAATTAATCCCTACATTGATACTCTGCATAACTCATTTGTTTTCTATCTCCCTCTCTTTAAACAAATGAATTTAATTTTGAACTTCCCTCTAAGTGTTAATTTAGGTGCAATATGCAAGTTTTTATAGTGATATTTTTCTCATTCAGTTATATATGTTTTCTAACTTTCATTGTAATTTTTTTTTTCCTTTTCAGACCATGAGCTACTTTGAAGTGTGTTTTCCAGTTACTACAATTTATTTTGCTGCTCTTTTATTGTTAATTTAAGACTTAATTACACTGTAGGCAGAGAATGTAGCTTTCTGAGGGTGAGTTCCAGATGTAGTATTTTGAAACCTTGTTTTATATGTTATCCCTAAAAAATGTCATTTAATATAGTTACATATAATTAATATAACTGCTTCATCTAATACCTCTATGCGGATGACTGTACAAATATGTACCTCTAGCTACTCTTCTCTTCTGAGCTTCAGGCCTATAGTTTTTTATATACTTATTAGATTAGTTACCTGTATATCATGCAGGCAGTCCAGCCTTAAATTCAAAACCAAAACATTGTCTACCCTGCTATGCTTTTCCTGTATCCTCTATTTTTAGAATGGTGATCCTCCTTCTCCCAACTGTTCAAGCAAAAAATAGTTAAAGTGTCTTTTATTCCTCCTTCTCATAAACTGGATGAACTGAATTAAATTATTCAAATACTTGAAATTATACTTCCTAAGTATCTCTTGAAGTCATTTTTTCCTCTCTATTGTCACAGATTTTGCCTGGCTTTAGGCTATCATCATTAATATGTTGGTCTACTGCACTGTCTTCTTAAAATGAGAACTCTGCTGGGGTAGTGCGGAAGGCATTTGACTGCTAACCAGAAGGCTGGCAGTTCAAACCCACCAGCCACTCCTCAGAAGGAAGATTGGGCAATCTACTTCTGTAGAGATACTGCCTCGTAAGTGGCCTTTAATTCGTCTTCTTGTCTTCACTTCCTTCTTCTCATCCATGCTTCTTCTTGTTACCAGACATATGTCTCAAACTCAAGTCTGATAATTCTATTCTCTTCCTTAAAAATATTTGATCATTACTTACAGGATAAAGTATAAATTTAGTACAAAACTGTAAACCCCTGTACCTGAGAAAATCCATCTGCTTTGGAAGTGTTAACTTTTCAGGCTTTATATATGTGGTACTTGTTGTTTTTGTGTCAACTTGGCTGGGCCTGGTTGAGTGGCTGGGCAGCTGGTGGTAATTATTCCCCATGATGAGACTGGCAATCAACTCCATGGTAGGATCTACTACAAGCAGCTGAGTAGCTGCCTTTGGGATGTGGTCTGCTTCCTGTATATAAGGAGAGCTTTGAGAATGGTCTCTTGCCTATGGCACACTTGGACCCTGCGTGTAGCTGTGTTGTTGCTCAGCAGCCTGCTATGCTCTGTCGACCTTGGGACTTACAGTGGACCTAAGTAATGGCCTGCCATGTGGTTTGGCAACATTGGGACTGTGCCTTTTTATTGGGATGTCCTAAGGAACATCCCATCTATACCATCTGTAATTGAAACCTTGGGGCTTCTCAGCCTCAGCAGCTGTTTGAGTGAAAAAAACACCTCTAGCTCCAGTGGGCCGGCAGCAGGAGGCAGAGCTGGTTGAGGGGCTTTCACCCAGCCCCTAGAGCCTGGTACTCTGAACTTGGACTTAAGGCCTCCAAATTGTAAGAATAAACTCCTGTTTGTTAAGGCCTTCCCGTATGTGGTGTATTCTTGTCAGAGAGGCACTAGGTAACTGGAACAATATACTGTCAAACATACAATTTAAAGTAATTTCTTAACCTTCAGTTCTATTAAAACCATAATGTTGAGAAGGATTTGGGTAAGTGTTACCTCACAAATGTTGCTTAAGTACCATATTTTTATGAGTAAGAACAAGTTACAATCTTTGGATTGGGTTTCATTTCCCAAAACAATCTTGCACCAATTTTTGTGAGAGTACAGGACACATGTTTCCATGTAATACAGGTAAAGAGGAAGAATGGGCACAGAGTGACACGGTGTCACAGGATCTTGCACTAATAGTATAGAAATCAGAGCCTGTGAGATAATGTTTTGAATGGTGATGGCAAATCATAAAATCCCAAAAGAGAAAACAGAAACATCTTTGGAAGTCTAAGTAATGAGCCAAAACAAGGCCCAGGTATCTTTTAACTTGGCTTTCATGAGAGGAAAGAAAATTATGCAAAACCATATTGATAGCAAGGAGGTAACACAGCCCTTGCTAAGGCACATCCCGTCTGTACCATCTGTAATTGCAGGTACAGTAGAACAATTCATGTTCACAATGGTAACCTTTAAAGATAATAAAGGTCAATTAGGCTCTGTACCCTCAGTATGAGAAGGGAAGCATAAATATCATTCGTTCAAGGGATGTTTTCATTAAAAATGATTAAAATTAAAGAATACAAAGAGATAAACTTGTATCAACCTGAAGTTTTAATTACTTAAAACAACTTTTTTCCATTCAGAATGATGACATCAACATGTTGGTGTGTTTTACCTCCCTATTAATTTGGCTGATAACCAGAAGGTTGGTGGTTCACAAACCCACCAGCTGCTCTGCAGGAGGAAGATGAAGCAACCTTTTCCCATAAAGATTAACAGCCTTTGAAACCCAGTGGGGGTCGTTATGAGTTCAAATTAACTTAATGGCAATGAGGTGGGTTTTTTTTTTGTTTGTTTGTTTATTAATAAAACCAGATGTAATGCTTTTTTGTGGATTTCTGAACTATCAATTGCCAATTGTTTTTAAATTAAGCAATAAGTAAGAATGGGCATTTGCTAAAAATCAGCCAGCCTTGAAAGAGAGCTACAGAGTAAGAAATGATTTTATGGTTCTTAAAGGTAGAAGTTCCAAGTACAGTACTATTCCTAGAAACTCGGCCCACTGCTCTGACACTATGGAGACTTTATTACTCTGATTGATGGGGGTATACTGAAGCCAAATTAATTTTTTTCTGGGTTTTACTGCTACATCTATGATTTTGAATTGGATATGTATGTACATTTACATGTACATATATATGTTAGCTTGTATTCCTGAGCTTAAGTGAGCTTTAGAAGCCTTCTTTCCATGTGGTATATCCATGGCTCATAATATGATTCAACAAGAACCTAAATATTTCATCTCAGCTTTTCCAGAAAAGAAAGGTGTTCTAAAACAAGTATTAAGCCATAGTAAAAATTTAAATATACAAACCTATTTGATACATGTACTACAGACATAACCATATTTATTCAAGAATATAATATTCAGTGAATATACATATAGCAAGAATTGGAAGCATTTTGTATGAAAACTTCTGTGGAGTTTATGCCATAAGATTTTCTTTTAAGTCCCAAGGATGTGTTATTAATATTGGAGAGAACAAATAAATCAGTTTTGATCTACTCAGGTCTGAAATGTAGCTGATACTGTTTTCTGTTTCTTTGGGGTCTTGTTACATCCCTCCTGGCATGACAGAAAAAAGTTGAGCTAAATTATTTACACAGATATAAATGTAAAAAAGAATCTTCATTAATCCTATTACATAAAAACATGTTTTAGAGATTAAATTTAACTTACACAATTTTTGTGTCAAATTTATTTTTTCCACCCACATTTTACCTCTGGTCCTGGAGGGCCAGATGGTCCCTGGGGTCCTGGGTCACCTGTTTGGCCCTAAAATGGGAGAAAATTTCAAAATACAAATATTACTTCAAAAAATACAATTTTAAAAAGAATCACTCATATTACAAGCAAATAGCATTCAATATATTATTTCAAAGTTGTTATGACTTTTCAGACAGACTTAAAATAACTTGTAAATATCATCATTGTGGAAAACATCTTTAGATAAACATTTAAGAATCTAATATATATTTACTCCTAAGTATTAGAGATACAAACAAGTTAGTGCTCAAACCAAGAAAAAAAAAAAAAGTATGTGTATGTTTCTTTACTTCTCCAGGGGTAAAACCCCAAAGCTTTGACTCAGTAAGGAATAGAGGTATAGATGAGGAAAAGTTTTTATAAATAACCAGTCCTAGAACAAAATTCTCCACTTTATACCATAAGTGGCCTCATGAAGTAATTAAGACTCACTTGGATTTAAATTCTTGTTTAATCTCTCTAAGGCTCACTTTTCTCACCAATAAAATAGGAATAATAACAACAGAACTAACATACTCACAGAATCATGTAGTGGATTAAATGAGACAACAAATGTAAAATGCTTAGCACAGTGCCTGGCACATAGAAAGTATTCATTAAATGGTAATAAATTTTCATCTTTCCCTCTCTGCCCACTTTCCTCTCCTACCTAAAACTTAGAATTCTACAGATTACTTTGTTCCTCTAACAAAAGTTTTGAAGATTTTTGTTTTAATATTTAGTAAGTCGGTTTCTGACACTCAGGTTAAAGATATGAAATCAGGGATGGAGAGAAAGGTGAGAAGACAGAAAAGTGGGTATAAAGCCTGAAAGTAGAGAGGGCTGGCAATGCTCTCAAGAGAAGAAAGTATACAACAGGGAAGGTCAGTAAAATGATGATAGCCTTGCTTGAATTTATTATTTATGTCATCATAAATTTCTATACAAGCCTAAATTTTATTTAAATTGGCTTCAAATCACATAAAATTGCATGGAGTTACCCACCTCCAAAGGACATAAGCAAGTCTCCCATGTGTACTGAATCTTTTCTCATACAAAGCTAGAGTATTTGGACATAATATAACCACAAACAGAAAGGTAATGGAATATTATGTAAAGGCTTGCTTAAGTCCTCCATCCTCCAAATAAGCAAAAACTGTGATCTCTCAGGATAAGTATCTAAATCTAAGGGAGACTTCAATTCTTAAAATGAAAAGCACCTTTCTCCCACACAGAGATGGCGTTCTCATTGCAGCCCTCTAGTGGCAAAATTCAACCAAGTAGCTAAATTGCAAGCAGGGAGAGGCCAGGGCGGGGAATAGCATACCCTACATCTTTGTTTTCAGAAAAATTGATTAACTAATAACTGAATATTTAAAAACATAAATTGTAGAATAATTTTTCATTCTTCAGAATAATTTCATTTTGAAAACTTCAATTGCAAGATTCTTTTGAATTCCAATTCTCTTTTTTAAAAACTGAGTTTTCAAATAGTTTTAGAGAATAAAATCTCAATTAATGCTTAAGTAGACTATAAATGACAAAAACTTCTACTTATAAAATGAAAAAAATTATCTTTGTTTTTTTTAAGGAAAGAATTTGTTACTTAAGTTCAGAGTGGTAGTTTTCTTAATTTTTATGAAACAGTGAAAGTTTCCCTAAACAAGAACATAAAAACCCTCAGGAATAGAAATTCTTATGTTGTCATTGTCAGGTGCCATTGCGTAGGCTCTGACTCATAAAGACCTCAAGCATAACAGAACAAAACCCTTTCCAGTCCTTCCCCATCCTCATGATTGTTGCTAAGTTTGAGCCCACAGTTGCAGCCACTAGGTCAATCCATCTTATTGAGACAATTCCTCTTTTTTTTTTTTAAATTGTGATTAGAGTGAAAATTTACAGAGCAAATTCACTTCCATACAGCAGTTCACATACACTTTGTCTCATGACATTGACCACAATTCACCACAATGCAACAGCTCCCCTCCCACTTCTCAACAGTCACCTCTTCCCTGTGTCCATCCCTCCATGCACCCCTGCCCCCGACCTCTCTCCCTGTGCATAAACAACCCTTGTTTCTCCCATGGTTGTTCTCTCCACGGACTGTATTTACCTCAGGTAAATGTTCAACTCCTATGCCTGTCTCTTGCTTGGCTGGAAGCCACAGGTGTGGGTTTGGCACTTCCTCTTTTTTGCTCACCCTCGGCTTTACCAAGCCTTCTCCAGGACTGGTCCCTCCTGATAACATGTCCAAAGTATGAGAGACAAAGTCTTGCTAACCTCACTTCTAAGGGGAATTCAGCTATATCGCTTCTGAGACAGATTTGTTTGTTCTTCTGGGAGTCTATAGTTGTGGTAGTTAAGGTGGTATGTCAACTTGACTGGGCCTGGTTGAGTGGCTGGGCAGCTGGATGTAGTTACTCCCCATGGTGAGACTGGTAACTAACTCCACAGTGGAATCTACTGGACCAGCTGAGTAGCTGCTTTAGGGATGTGGTCTGCTTCCAGTATGTAAGAAGCTGTTTGAGGAAGGTCTCCAGCTTTTTGGTATATTGAATCTTGCATGTAGCCAAGTCATTCAGCAGCCTGCCATATCCTACCGATCTAGGAACTTTTTCTGGACTTGAATTATCAGCCTGTCATATTGTCTGTTAATATCAGGACTGTGCCTTTTACTTGTCAACCTTGAGTTTGTCAGCCTGAGCAGCCAGCAGCTGCCTGGGCGAAGAAAAGCCTCCAGCTTCAGTGGATCAAGAGAAGGAGACAAAGCTGAAACCCAAGGTGGAGGGGCTTTCACCCAGCCTGTAGAGCCTGGCACTTTGAACTCAGACTTCTAGCCTCTGAAATTGTAAGAGAATAAACTGTTGTTTGTTCAAGCCATTCCATTTGTGGTATGTCTGTTAGAGCAACACTAGATAACCAAAACAATAGTATATTCAATATTCTTCACCAACATCATCATTCAAATGCATCACTTCTTCTTTGGTCTTCCTTATTTATTGTCCAGCTTTTGCATACATGTGAGGCAACTGAAAATACCATGGCTTGGGTTAAGCGCACCTTAGTCCTTGTGGTAGTTAAAGTTGTATGTCAACTTGACTGAGCCGTGGTTTGGCAGCTGGATGTAGTTATTCCCCAAAATGAAACTATAATCATCTCCATGGTGGAATCTGCTGTGAGATATTAATCAGTGGAAAAGGGAGCTGCCTTTGTGGGGGTAGGCTGCTTCCAGTATATATGGAAGAGCTTTGGGAAAGGTCTCTAGCTTATTGACACATTTTGGATCCTGCATTTGGCTGACTCTTCCTTAACTTGCCATGTTGCCTGCTGATACTGGGATTGTGCTATTTTATTGGCTGATCTTGGGTTTGTCAGCCTTAGCAGTCAGCAGCTGGGTGAGTTAAGAAAAGCCGCCAGCTCCAGCAGGCCTGGAAAGGCACAGAGCTGAAGCCCAAGGTCAAAGGGCCTTCAACCAGACCTTAGGGCCAGCACTCTGAGTTCGAACTTCTAACTTCATAAATGTAAGAGAGTAAATTCTTGTTTGTTAAAGCCATTCACCTGTGGTATTGCTGTTATATCAGCATTAGAGAACCAAGACAGTCCTCAAAGTGACATCTTTGCTTTCCAACACTTTGCCACAGATTTGCCCAGTGCAAGAAACCATTTGATTTCTTGACTGCTGCTTCCTTCCATGGGTATTGGTTGTGGATCAAAGTGAAATGAAATCCTTGACAACTTCAATCTTCTCTCAGTTTATCATGATGCTGCTTACTGGTCCAGTTATGAGGATTTTTGTCTTCTTCATGTTGAGGTGTAATCCATACTGAAAGCTGTAGTGTTCAATCTTCATCAGTTAAGTGCTTCAAGTTCTCTTCATTTTGAGCAAGGAAGTTGGTGCCATCTTCACATCACAGATTGTAATGAGTCTTCTTCTAATCCTGATGCCATGTTCTTTTTCATATATGCAGCTTTGTGGATTACTTACTCAGCATACAGACTGAATAAGTATGGTGAAAGGATACAACCCTGATGTACACCTTTCCTAATTATAAACTATGCAATACTCATAGACTCACAGAGCTACCAGTAAACTTAAATATAGTCCAATTTTCATTTTAAATATGAAAACTGGATAGCATAGTAGTTAAATACCCAAGGTCATACAGAAGGCTGGTGTCACAGGTGGGACTAGAATCCAGGTCTCTATTCCTTAAGCTTGTGATTTTTCTTTTTATAACATGTTATCAATATCTATTGAATCAAAGAGTAAGGGTCATTAAAAATGTTTGCTTTATGTAGACATGATATTTTACTACTTTTCTCAAGAACTTAACTCTAAAGCATAAAAGAATCATACAGATATTATTTATTCATTAGTATTGGACTTAGATATATGTTATATCATTTCCTCTTTTTATTGTCAAAGGTTTAGAAAATGCTCATATATAAAAAATAAAGATGTAAAAAGTTGGTGTTTATTTTGCCAATCACTACACATATTGGAAGTCTTTGTTATGGTTTAGAATCAACCTTGATAAACAGAAGCTGTGGGTTAGCTATTTCTAATGCCATTCACATTTTTTTGCAGTTTTTTTATATTCAACTCCAGGTCTTAAATCTAGGTACAATGATGACTGGGTTAACCAACAAGAGTCCAATGTGGAAAACTAGTAAAAGTAAAGGTCTCACCAGCCAGCTATCAAAGAAATGAAATCTGTTGCTGTGGATTCCAACTCAAGGAGACCTTATAGGGCAGATAAGAACTGCCCCACAGTGTTTCCTATCTCATAATCTTTACAGAAGCAGACTGCCACATCTTTCTCCCGTGAAGTGGTTGGTGGGTTTGAACTGCTAAGTTTTTGGTTACCAGTTGAGTATTTAACCATTGCACCACCATGGTTCCTTTTCAAACCAAATAGATTACAAAAATTATTCTTGAGTTAAAGAATTCCTAAGAGATGTATATAAAGTATTGTCACTGTTAAAAGTCAGAAAGAATGTAGTACATAAAATTCTGTAACTTAATTCCTAAGATACTAGTATAAGTAATGCTGAGACGGGAGGGTGGAGTTAGAGATAACACTACTAATTGCTCAGGGAAATAACATTTTTTTTAAAATGTACACTTTAATGTAATTTTAACAAATTATGACTCTATTCTCTATATTTAATTTTTCTACAATCACCTTCACTTTATGTTGTAATTGATATTAAAATCCTAAAATATTAAGTCCTAAAACAGAATGCCACAATGGTTAAGACTCTAACATACCTGATTACCTCTTACTTAGTAACTATGGGACTTTGGATAAATTACTTAATTCTCTGTGTTTTAGTTCTCTTAGTTTATAAAACAGGGATAATAATAGTATCAATTTCATAGCATTGTTCTCAGGATTAAATATATAGTCCTTAAAATAGTGTCTGGTTCTTTGTAAACATTCAGTAAAAGTTAACTGTAAAAATAATAACTTCAATGTGCAGATATATACTTATGACTCATATCTTAACAATTTATTGAAATTATTTTATTTATTCAATTATTTTAGTTTTATAATTTGTTAAGTTTTAGTTTTATAATTTGTTAAGTTTTATATTAACTATGATGAGGCTATCTTTTCCATTAATAGATGTCCAAAGGTTATAAACAAGAGTGTGACATGCTCTTTTCTTCAGAGTGTTTCCTTAATGAAAAAGATATTTGGAAATACTTAAAATGTTATTGAAGGTACTTTATATCTTCTGGCTTCAAAACATGTTATTTAGCTTAAATACTATTTATAGTAAACAAAATCCAGGAAAATAACATGATCTAGATCTTTAGAATTCCCAGAAACTTGGCTTTGTCTGGGCATGAGGGAAGTGGGTAAGTGAGGTCCAATAGTGTATGGAATGTGAAGAGAGTGCTTGAGGAAAAAGCTTTATTTTAGAACTGACAAGGGAAAATGTAAGGCTGGTAGACTTATATCCTATTAACACCAACCACTATCAAGGCTGATGCTATGGAATTCATTCAGTTAGTCAGAGACAGCAAAATAAAAGTTCAAACCTACTGAAGGTCCTGGCTTTCCTCTCATTCCCTGAGGTCCTGGCAAACCAACGGCTCCCTAAAAAAAAAAAAAAAAAAAACCAGAGAAAAGTAATTATATAACAAAAGGCAGTGGTGCCAGTATTTACAAACTACTAAAATATTTCATGTTGTTGTTATGTGCCGTCGAGTCGGACCCGACTCATAGCGACCCCTCCTTGGGTTTCCGAGGCGGTATCACTATGGAAGTAGATTGTCCCATCTTCCTTCCGAGGAGTGGCTGGTGGGTTAGAACCTCCAGCCTTCTGGTTAGCAGTCAAGTGCCTTAGGCACTATGCTACCAGAGCTCCTAAAATATTTCATGGAAGTGGTCTAAAGAATTGAGAAAACTGTTTCAAAGAAGACATGTAAAACTATATTGACTGCATATTCTAATAAAATACATGGTTAAAATAATGAGTACTCTTTTCTTTTGAAAGAGTTCACACAGTCTCATGGCTTTTGTAAATTTACATAAAATTAATGGTATAAAAGTTACCTTGTCTCCAGGATACCCTGATTCTCCGGGCTCTCCTGCAATGCCTTGTTCACCCTGGAGAGCACAATTTTATACAAAGGCATTTATTCACTATGACATGACAATATTATATAAGAAAAATATAATCATTAAATAATAATGCATCTCTTTTTCCTACTTCTGAGAAAATTGATATATACTTGCTAATATAGATTAGACTTAGTAAATGAAAACAAATTATTTTATAAGTTGTGTTGAGTTAAAAGAAAAAAATATGATAAGAAATTATCTCTATGATAATGTAAACATTTAAATCACCTTATCACCTTTGATTCCTGGTAGCCCCTTATTCCCTGAGAGACCCTAAAAAAAAAAGTGATATTTTGTAACATCACAGAGAAATTAAAGGGAAATATCCATTACACATATAAAACCATACCATTAGGCCAGGAATTCCAGAAGGTCCAACTGGTCCCACAGGGCCAACACTGCCCTGAAAAGCAGCAAGAAACAAAGGCACGTTAAGCATCCACTAGGATTGCACTTGACTGCTAACCAGAAGGCTGGCGGTTCAAACCCACCAGCCACTTCTTGGAAGGAAGGTTGGGCAATCCTGCTTCCGTAGTGATACCACCTCGGAAACCTAAGGAGGGGTCGCTATGAGTCGGGGCCGACTCGACGGCAAATAACAACAACAACAAAGGATTGAAAAACAATGCGGTAAAATTAGTTAATCAACCCAGAAATGGTCATCTCACTAAGGTCCCCACACATGCCTTGGTCTTCAATACTTCTTTCCTCTCCACATTCAAATATCCTACCAATCTTTCAAACCTTAGCCAACTTCATCTTATTTCTTGAAGCCTTCTCCTACTGGTCTAGTCCACAAGGATCCTTCCCTCCCTTATGCTCCTATAACACTGTCCATGACACTCATCTTGCAATATTTCCCCTATTAGATGGTATCTTAAAGATAGGGAGTATATTTCAGTGTCAAGCACCCTGAAGTATTTAATAAATATTTTGTTTGATTGCCGTAGATTTTTATTTCACCCTTTTATTCAGCAAATATTTATTGAGCAGTTACTATATGCTAGGCATGCTAATAATTTCATTTCATAATCTGAAATTTGCAGCATGAGAAAATTTACCATAATTTCAAAGATAAATTGAGTAGTGGAAAAGAAAAAAAAGTTCTACTCTAGATTTTCTCATTCTTTCATTGTTCAAATATAATGAGTATAATGGATACCAGACACTGTAGTAGTTTGAGGAAATAAAGACAAAAAGACATAGTCTTCATATTTCTCAGTTTAATGCTCCAAAGAAAGATTTCTCTAAAGAGAACTACAACTATAGTCTCCTGAAAGCATGAGACTTAAAACAATTCCTTCAATATGTCATCTTCCCTTTTATCTTCTGAGACCATGTTGGATCAGTCTTCCCTCTTATGACTTCCAAATGTTAAGGAATTTTAAAAGTTGTATTTTTGACAATCCTGAAAATATTTTATTTAGTAATCTCTGATGTTTCTCCAATCCCCTTTACTTAGAATCCAAATTTCATAGGATAGCATCACAAGTCCTCAATTCCAGGTGCCTACCAACCTGTGTAATCTTACCTCTTTCCATTTTCCCCATGCCCTTTATGTCTCCCTCCCTCAAACCATACATATCTTCACTCATCACCTGCCTTAAGCCTTTGGAAGTAGTTCCCACTACTTGGACGCCCTTCTACTTACACTACTTACTACACTGCACTGTACTTCTCTTTCTGTCTTCCTACTCTGTACATTCTGTGAGATCAAAGTATTTTTTTTCTAAGCCCTAATGTAATAACTGACACATAATCCTTTTGAAATAAATGAGTATGGAATGAATAATGAAGAAAGTATTCAACTTATAAAAACAAGTTTAAAACAGTGATTTTTAGAACCCTTATCTTCCAACCTAAGGGTATTTCTAATAGTCTACATTGACATAGTACAAATTTCAGAATGGAAAATATGACATCTTTACTTCTGGATGAGTCCTAAAGTTTGCAAAATAGAACTAAGATAAATTATTTCCCATGTGTTTAATCCTGAAATATATGGGACTGTGAGAGTTAAAGGGTAATACTTTCCAACTTAATAAATAGATATGCAATATTACTACATCATTGCTTGCAATTCTAAATTCTGTCAATAGGAAACAATTATTTTTATGATTACAATGGCTAGTTTATCCAAAGTTCAGTATGCTTCAAAGTTCATAGCTTTAAAACTATGATGGGCTCACAAATACATTAAATACCTCTGTTTGAAAATTATATGGTGATAAACCATTCCAGTGCAAAAAAA